ATATTAGGGTTAGGCTCACAAATATAAAATTAAAAGTTGAAAACCTATAATTAACTATTTTTTTTTTTATTACAAGAGAAACTAATTAATTGATTAATTAAAAATTAATTGTTTTTATAGTTCACATAATTTCGTGTTATATTGCATTCTTCTGCAACTTGTAATTAAAATTTTATTATCATAATTAAAATAATTAGGCACAACAAGACAGGCAGAGCAATGTAGTACTGCGGGCAGAAAACGAGAGCCTAAAGAACGAGAATTATCAGCTGCAGTCGACGCTACGGAATTTAGCTTGCCCTAGCTGTGGTGGTCCAGCTATGCTTGGTGAGATGGGCTACGACGAACAACAGCTACGTATCGAAAATGCCCGTCTCAAGGAGGAGGTACAAAATTCATTTTTTTTTATTCTTTATTTAAAAAAAAATGTTTTTCTCCCCATTTTTCGATTGTTGTCGACAGTTATAACTCGAACACAATATTTTTATTCTAATTTAAAAGGGTAAACAATACTTGGTATAATGTACGAAAATGAGATCGTTTTGAATTATATATATATACACACCAGATCGATCACACGTTTTACAAGATGACGTAAAATAAAATATAAACATTTTTTTAGTTGATTTCACATATGAATTGATTTTAGTGAAATAATTAAAATAAAAATATAAACATTTTTTTAGTTGACTTCACATATAAATTGATTTTAGTGAACTAATTAAAATAAAAATATAAACATTTTTTTAGTTGATTTCACATATAAATTGATTTTAGTGAAATAATTAAAATAAAATATAAACATTTTTTAGTTAATTTCACATATAAATTGATTTTAGTGCATGGACTAACTTTTCTTTCTTTGTTTCTTTCTTCTCTCTCATGCAGTTCGAGCGTGTTTGCTGCCTCGTTTCGCAATACACGGGCCGACCCATGCAGCCGATGGGGCCCACGCCTCTCCTAACCCATTCACTAGACTTGGATATAATGACTCCGTATCCAAGAAAATTCGATCAAGACCACATCACCGATAACACTATGCTTCCCAATCTGCCCTTCATGCCCGAAAACTCAAACTTTCCGGTCAACTCTTTGATGATCTTGGACGAGGAAAAGTCGTTAGCCCTTGACTTGGCCGTCTCTTCTATGGACCAGCTCCTGAAAATGTGCCACCTGGCGGACCCACTCTGGGTTCGACCAAGTGACAATAATGCAAACGGTAAGCATGTCCTAAATCTCGAGGAGTACGCAAGAATGTTTTCTTGGTCAGTGAGCCTCAAACAGCAGCCTCACGAGTTTAGGACCGAAGCAACGAGAGATTCGGCCGTCGTTATCATGAATAGCATTACCCTCGTCGATGCATTCCTCGATGCGGTTAGTAATAAATTTACTTTTATTCTTATTTGAAATAGATACAAACTTAATATATCTCAATTTTTTTGCCTTTGTTTATTTCAGAATAAGTGGATGGAGCTGTTTCCATCGATCATTTCACGAGCCAAAACACTTCAAATGGTGCATTCGGAGGCTTCTGGCCACGCAAGTGGTTCTCTTCACCTCGTGAGTCGTTTTTTTTTTCTTTCGATACTTATCAACTCGATATTAAATTAGATACGTTAGGGGTGATCAGGGCTTTTCACATGATCAGAAAAATATATTTTTACACAACTTCAAGGAGATCCAATCATTATATTGAGCATATTATAATCTAATTAGGCTATGATTTTAATCAAAAACTACAAAATTTCATTTTTATACTACTTTTCAATTCCTAAATACAATATTTAATTTTGAACACCCTTGAATAAAATCCACGGATTCGCCACTTCGAAATTGTTACACATTTTATATTACGCTCAAAAAAAATAATTATTTTGCTTTTATATATGTATATATAAATAATATAATTGATGTTGTTCGTGTAATTTTGATGTCGTAGATGTGAAATTGTTACACATTTTATATTACGCTAAAAAAAATTAATTATTATGTTTGTATATATGTATATATAATTGATGTTGTTCGTGTAATTTTGATGTCGTAGATGTATGCGGAGCTACAGTTTGTTTCACCACTAGTGCCGACGAGAGAGGCTCACTTCCTCCGATACTGCCAGCACAACGAAGAGGAGGGTAGTTGGGTAATTGTCGATTTCCCACTCGACGGTTTCCAAAACGATTACCCTCCTTCTTTTCCTTATTACAAAAGACGCCCTTCCGGCTGCATCATCCAAGACATGCCTAATGGATACTCTAGGGTGCCTATTCCTCCTCCCTTTTTCCTTTATTACAAAAAATATAATAACGATTGTACGAGAATTACCCGACATTTAATTGAAATGTATATTTATTAATTAAATATATAGGTGACGTGGGTGGAGCATGCTGAGGTGGAAGATGGTCCGATCCACCAAGTTTTTTCGAGTTTGGTGAGCAGTGGTGTGGCTTTCGGCGCGCAGCGTTGGTTAGCCGTTTTGCAACGACAATGCGAGCGATTTGCTAGCCTCATGGCTAGAAATATTTCCGATCTCGGAGGTAAGTAATTTACACGTTAATTATATATCTTCCTATAAACAATGAAACAATACAGTTAAACCTCTATAAATTAATTAATACAGTCGGGACTAGAAAAAAGACTATTATTTAATCGAGGTTATTAATCTATCGAGTATTAATTAATCGAGATTCTACTGTATGTATAATCTCGTGTTTTTACAGTGATCCCGTCTCTCGAAGCACGGAAAAACTTGATGAACCTGGCTCAGAGGATGATTAGGACATTCTCTCTAAACATAAGCACTTGTTACGGCCAATCTTGGACAGCACTTTCCGATTCTGCCGACGACACTGTCAGAATAACGACTAGGAAAGTCACTCAGCCAGGTCAGCCAAACGGCTTGATCCTCAGTGCCGTGTCGACTACTTGGCTGCCGTATTCCCACAAACAGGTGTTCGATTTCTTGAGGGACGAGCGCTCTAGAGCTCAGGTTAAATTATATTATTATTGCATCACTTCGTATAGTACATATTATATTTGTAGATTATTGCTTTTCCATTAGTCTTTATAAATGCGGTTATTATATATATTCGATTAATGACCTAATAAGTTTGCGTTTATTTCGCAGCTTGAAGTTCTCTCCAATGGGAATTCGTTGCACGAAGTGGCTCATATTGCAAACGGCTCTAATCCCGGAAACTGCATTTCTCTTCTTCGCATCAACGTACGCATATTTTTAGAGTTTATTATACCTTATGAGCTTAATTCCTATAATAAATGGTGCTTTATTTGAGGGTATTTTTAGTAATAAAATTGAATCATATGGGATATTTTGCTAAAATCCATTACACTGCGAGTTTCTTGACAATTAGATAAACACAGGGGCGCACGTATTTTTAGAGTTTATTGCATTTTGTACGATTTTGTTATACCGAATTGCTAAAAATCTCCTCGTGTTACAAATATTAGCTATAAAGCCTCTAAAAAGCAGTGTTTAGCACACAACCCCCTAAATGCTGCATTTTTAGAGAGTGAGGATTCCTAATAATAAAATTGAATCATAGGGGGGATTTTGCTAATATTCGTAAACACGGGGTGCTAAATGCAATAATCCTCATTTTATTAAAAAAGAGTTCAAATTAGAGATTTTTTTTGTTTCTTCTTTTCTTCTCCATAGAGACAAATCTTGCAATAAAATTAATAATAAAAAGAATGCTATGTTGTAATGTAATGCAGGTTGCTAGCAACTCATCCCAGAGCGTGGAGCTCGTGCTGCAAGAGAGCTGCTCAGATGATTCCGGAAGCGTGGTAGTGTACACCACCATAGACGTCGATGCGATTCAGATGGCAATGAACGGTGAGGATCCGTCCTGCATTCCGCTCCTCCCTTTGGGATTCGTCGTGATCCCACTAGGGCAGACGAACAACTACGAGGGCACTAACGTAATTACTAAGCAACCCTCGGATCAAAACGGGCAGCTGCCCGACTCGGGCTGCCTGCTGACCGTGGGGCTCCAAGTCCTCGCAAGCACAATCCCGACCGCGAAGCTCAACCTCTCGAGCGTCACCGCAATTAACCACCACCTCTGCAGCACTGTTCAGCAAATCAACGCGGTTCTTGGAAACTGCGGCAACACCACCGCTAATTTCTCCGAAAATAACGTCGGTATTTTGGGGGCTAACGTGGAAAACGAGGCTGCACCGGAGATCAAGACAACCGACCTGGTGGGCCCCGCATCCTAATTAATCATCTTATATATTTATATATAATATAATACCTCCTTTTTCGGGGCTTCCTTTTGTCGGTTTTAACCGAGGATTTCGCAAAGCAGGTTTTGCTAAAGGTAGTATGACTTCTCTTTTTTTAGGGTTTGAATGTTTTTTGTGGAGGGAAAAAAAAAAGAGAAAGGAGGGTAGTTGTTTTGTTTTGTTTTTTGAGGGTAGTTTAATTAGTTGGTGTTAGGTAATTAGGGTTTATTTGGAAGTAAAAAAGTATTGTGTGGGGGATTGTGGAAATTTTAGAAGTCAAGAGCGCACCAGAAGTGATCCTTGCTAATTGTTTAGGCTATTTGATGATTGAATATGGCCTTAACAACTAGCAAGGATATGGTGGTTCGGGTATTGACTTCGATCGTTTAGCTCGCGCTAGCTAGTGTTTGATTCTCGGTTCGATAAACGAATGCTGGATTCTTTTTGTTATTAATTCTATGTTTTATTTCTTTCGATGTGTCTTGATTATTATTGTGTTTGTTTCTTCTCTTGACCAGCAGTCTACAGTTTTTTCAACTTCACTAAATTATTTTAATTAACTAAGGGTGAATGTTCGAAGGGAATTTCTGAAATTTTGCCGATTCCTGTTCGAAAATTTTGGATTTTGGAAGAATAATTTTCATTCAAAATGGCAAAAGTTTTGATTTTCTGTTTTTGATCTGATTTTAATTTCAAAAATAATTATGCGAATTCCGATTTATTTGGAAAATCACACTAAAAGAGTATCAATATTGTGACTATAATTTCTGAATTTTGCCAATTCCGATATGCGGATTTCCGATTTCGAAACAATTATTTTTGTTCCAATTTGGTTATTTAGAAATATTTTAGAACGGGAATTAGGTATTGAAAGAATGAGATTTGAGATCAATCAAAATTTGTAGGTATAAAGAAATATAATAGTTCATTTACAATTACACTAGTATTTCACCCGTGCATTGCACGGAGGTGAGTTTCAAAATGAGAAAAATAAACTTATGTAAACGGCTATTTCTTTATAACAATATCAATTCAAGTAAAACAAAATAGAAGGAAATAAAAAACATAAACTTTATCTCTTAATTTAGAGTTGTAACATATAAAATTAAGTTAAATATTACAAATAAGAAAACATGAAGCGCGTAAAACACGATATCAAGATTAAGTGAAATCATTTAGAACATATGGTATAACTCTATTTCTTGGATTGCAATCTACTACACCATGTGAATCTTCTGCAAAATAACTAAGGTAACAACAAACACTGTAGCATAGAAGTAACACAATAGATATTCAAATAACCTGCAAGTTTATCACTAATGACGTTCAATTAGTTATGAACATTACTCAAACAACAATAAAACTTATAAATATTGCAAAAAAATATGAGGTACACGCCACTACCAGTACTTATACCAATGTTGATATCAATATCGATACCAATACTGATACCAATATTGTTACCCATAGTGATATTAACTCGATTAATACTCATACTCATACTAATACTAATACTAATATTAATATTAATACTAATACTAATATTAATAACCAATGTTAATATTAATAGTGATACTAATACTAATATTGGTACTAATACCACTATTAATAATAATACTGATACTAATATTAATATTAATACTAATACTAATACTGATACTAATACTAATACTAATACTAATACTAATACTAATACTAATACTAATACTGATACTAATACTGATATTAATACTGATATTAATACAAATATTAATACTAATACTGATACTAATAATAATACTGATACTAATACTAATACTAATACTAATAATAAAACTAATACTAATACTAATATTCATATTGATACTAATACTGATATTAAGAATAAGACTAATATTGATACTAATACTAATAATAATATTCATACTTACATTGATAATTATAGTGATATTGATACTAATACTAATACTAATACTAATACTAATATTGGTACTAATACTGGTACTAATACTAATACTAATACTAATACTAATACTAATACTAATACTAATACTAATACTAATACTAATACTAATACTTATACTTATACTTATACTTATACTATTACCGATACTTATAGTGATACTAATGGGTTA